TGCTGATACTCCCGGATTTGCTTCGCGGGGAGTTTTGCGGAGGTGTCGTTGTTGTTCCCGTAGCTGTAGGGAGTCGTAATTGTAGTTGGTGTTAGTCCGAACTTCTTTGCGACAACGCCTGCGTACTTTCCAGCGTATAGGTAGAACGCCGAGTTGTCTTCGACGACATTCAGACCCAGATACTGGGTCACTGTGTCGGACACCGTGAGTGTCAAGTCCCCTTTCAGCTCCCCTTCGAACCAGGTGGCGATTTCGGTAGTGGAACCGATGTAGAGCAGGTCGTCGACGTAAACGATGAGTAGGATGAATTCCCTTCCTTTCTGTAGTCGGTACATGCCTTGGTCGTGCAGCAGTTGTAGAAATCCGATTCCGACGAGGCGACCGTGAAGGTGCTGCTTCCAAAGCCGCGGGGCTTGCTTGATCCCGTAAAGGGATTTTGTCAGCTGGCATACTTTTGTGGGGTCGTCGATGAATCCGTGGGGCTGCTCGACGAAGATCTCGGCGTCCACAGGTGCGTACAGGAAAGCATTTGCGACGTCGATTAGGCGCAGTGGTAGTTTCTTCGTGGCCGCGACGGCGAGTAGGATGCGCAAGGAGGTGTGACGGGAGACTGAGGCGAATGTTTCTGTGTAGTCGGTTCCGTATCGTTGATCGAACCCTCGTACGACCCATCGAGCTTTGAATCGTTCGATGGAGCCGTCCGCATTGGTCTTGATACGGTACACCCATTTTCCCGAGAGAACGTTGTTCCCGTTGACGTTCGTTGCAGGTACCAGCTTCCATGTATTTCGGTCTTGCAAGGCTTTCAGTTCCTTTTCCATTGCCTCCTTCCATTTCGCCTTATGTTCCCCCCCCAGAGCCTGCGAGAGAGTCGTTGGCTCTCGCGGAGATGGCGGCGGCGGGTGCTGGAAGTAGACCCATTAGCTGAGGATTTGCAGTCCCGTGGGTGTGTGTCGAGGGGAATTTTCATTCCCGGGATAGGCTGCTTCGTCACCATCTTCTGGATCAGGTAAGAAGTTGGGGCCGATGCATTCTGAGATATTCGTGTCGACCGGGTGAGGTGTAGCGTAACCTTGGTCAGCGAAGTGGTAGAGGGTGTCGAGGTTGTTGCTATCGAGAGGATTGTCTTCGTCGAGTGGAACAGGTACGGAGCAGTAAGGGAGTGGTCCGGCAGCTTCCGAAGCTCCAGGTACGTCTCCTTCTGCTGCGTCAGCCTCGGCAGCACGGTCGGCGAAGGACCGAAGGCCCTCGAAGCCATTCGCGGGGTCTTCTGTGTTTGCAATATTGTCCAGGTAATGCTGCAGCGTTAGTCGTTCGTAGAATATTACATCACGTGATGCCACGGTATTTTTGTCTTGTATGTCGAGGATTTTCCATGCTTGAAAATGTTTTGCGATGCCGAGGTGTAGTCCCCATCGTGCTCGTTGAGTGAAGCGTCTTGCTCTGGCTCTGTGGGGTCTGTACTGTACCATGCAGCCGAAAACCCGAAGTAATTTTGTGCTGCCCCTTTTTCTTGTCCACAGCAGGTTCGGTGATTCGTTGTTGGGAAGCGATGACGAGGATAGCAGGTTGTGCAGGTGGACTGCATGGGTCATCGCGTCTGGCCAAAGTGCGTTGGGCAGTCTCATCCCTAGGAGCAGCTTTCGCATCGTCGTCTGCAAGGTCCGATTCATTCGTTCTGCGACCCCCTGCTGCTGGTGAGCGTAGGGCAGAGACACCAAGCGTCTGGTTCCTCTTTCCGCCAAGTAGGTCCTGAAGCGTTGTGACTGGTATTCCAGTGCGCCGTCTGATTGGAAGCTTTTGAGCTTCGTTCCTGATTCTCGTTCAGCGATGGAAAGCCACGTCCTGAAGGCTTCGAAGGCTTGGTCTCTCGTCTTGAGGTTGTAGTGCCAGACATATCTTGTTGCTGCATCGATGAACGTTATGACATAGTTGAAGTCGGCTTCAGTGTCCTCTCGAGGCATGTTTAAGATGTCGCTGTAAACCTTTTCCATCGGTGCGTATGCAGGTGCGCTTGGATTGTGATGTGACGGAAAAGGTTGATGCCGAAGGTCTGCTTCAGGGCATGTGAAGCACCTTGCGCGAGGTCGTCGAAGTTCTTGTCCGCTTGTTCTAAGGAGAGCGTTTCGTTCTAACACTTCGCCTTGGATGGTTTGTAGTACCGTGCTATTTGCAGAATGCCCAAGGCGTTGGTGCCAGATGTCGTCGGAGGCGCGATGACCGGGCGAGCGTTGGTATATGTCGGTGTTGGAGAAGAACGCGACGACCGTGGCGGGACTTCGGCAGACTTCTCGTGTGATGGGCATAAGTTGATCTGCTTCGGTTGGTGGTCCTCGGATCGTTAGTGGTGGTACTCGGCTGGGTCCTGCTGCTGCTGCTACATGTGATGGTTGGGAAGGGACGCTTGCTGGTACTTGTCTTTCTTGTCTGATGACTGCTAACACTCGTGTTCTCTCTGCTGCAGGTATGGTGTTTGAGTACCAGAATCCGTCGGGGTTGAAGTCGGGTCAAGATTCGGTGGGTGCGTCCAGGCTGCGAACGACACGATGCCATCGCTGTCGGCAGTACCGCGGTCGGGGACGAAGTCCAACACGAAGACGCCGGACTTCAGGAGAGCTCGACCGATGAAGAGACTGCCCTTCCCGTGGTAAAGACGAAATTCGTTGGAGTCCGAGTCGCACTCCAGGTGAATCCCTTTTGCCATTAGCTGGCTGACGCTGAGCAGGTTGTATCCCAGATTGTCGACGATGAGAACTTTGTTGAGTTGTAATATAACGTTTGTTTCCATGGACTGTAACTGAACCACTCCTTGTCTGTTTGTTTTCAGGTTCTGGTTGTTGGCGACGGTGATGATGACATCGCGGTTAAGGCGTCGCTCTCGTTGCACGAAGCGCCCGGAGGAGCACATGTGTTGACCGCAGCAGCTATCCAAGAACCAGGTGTTTCGTCCGGTGCGTTCGGCGTTGGCGACTGCAGCGTATGTCGGGTTGACCTGAAGTCCTTGTGAGCGCGGCGGCGGCAGTTCTTCTTCGTCTGGAGCGTAAGTGGGTGGTGATCCGGGTGTGCAGGTGTCGATGTGTATCATGCAGTTGATGATGTTTGGTGTGCTTTGCGCAGATGTGGAGGAGCACCTCGGCGGGCTTTCTTGAGTGGAAGCGACTTGTGGGTCTACTGGACGATAAGCTCGGCGACGTGTGCAGTTGACTTTGGAGTGTCCGGATGTTTGGCAGTTGTGGCGGAACGGCAGCACAATGGTGAGTCCTCTGTTGTCGCGTTGTTCTTGCTTCCCACGTCGATTGTAGTTGTTGTCGTTCCTTCGTTGAGTGTAGAAGACAAACGGTTGCTGCTTTCTTGGTTGTCTTTCTTCAAACAGGTCCATCTTCTGTTGTTCAGCGTGAAGCTCGGCGCAGAGGTGCATCTCCGAGATTCGTCCGTGGGTGCGAAGGAGCGAGCGGGTGGTTCTCCATTCTGGCCCGAGCCCAGCGAGGACAAGCGTCACGAAGCTTTCTTCAGTGATTGTTCCTCCGCACCGAAGCAGGCGGTCGCGGAGTGTCTGGCATCGACTCATATACTGCATCGCCTTTTCTCCGGTCTTCATCTGTATTGTTGTCAGTTGCTGCATGAGTCTGCTTTGTGTCACGCTGTCGTTTGCTTGATAGAGACACTTGAGGTGATGCCATGCGAGTTCCGCAGAGTTTCCATAGCTTCGATACGTTCTGATGCTTTGCTGCTCTTGTGGTGACAGGTTTCGCAGGAGGACAGTGTACGCCAGCAGCGACTGATACGTAAATATTTCTTGGTCTTTTGCAGTGCCGTTGCTTGGGAATGGCAGGGACCCGTTGAAGTATCCCAAGAGATGCGCAGCCTCCATCAGCAGCTCGAACTCAAAGCTCCAGGTAAAGAAGTCGTGTCCGTTAAACGGTGAGGATGTCTGTAGTTTGATCAAGTGCGAAAACTGCGCCTGGAGACTTAAGATCTCGTTTGGTGTCTGTTGTGATGCAGCTGCTGTTGGTTGGGCACGGGGCGGCATGAACTCGAACGTCCCCGGTGAAGAGTGATAAGGCGCAAAGGTAGGCGCTTGATTGTGTCGCCCGAACGATGAGTTGTCGAGGCTCATCGGCGCCAATCCCATGTTTCCTCCGTTGCTCTATGTTGAATGTGCAGGTGTGCTTGTCTGCTGCTGCTGGTCGAAGTGCGATATGAAGCTGAAGAACCTTTCCATAAGGTTTGGATCCACGCTTGAAGAGGGTGATGGGGTCACCATTTCCGGTGCTCTTCCTGTTGTTTCTTGAGCAGCGCCGGTCTCGGTTTGCAGTCCTGAAGTGTGCAATCCAGAGTTGTCGGGTTGAGTGTCTTGGGCGCCGGGTGAGCTCGTGGAGATTTTCTTGCCCTTGCTGTCCATGACTTGTAATCAATGAAGTCGTTGAATTGCAAATTGTAGATAGAGTGTAGTTGCTGGGAGTTTGGTCTCTGACCAGCTCTCATACCATGTTGGGCTGAGAAATGCCCTTGGGATCTTTCCAGAGACTAAGTCCCAGTTGTAAAAGACTTAAGTAGTGCAGCGGAAGTTGAGTAGTTGAACCCTTGTACTAGTATATGAGAACAAGTGATTGATTAAAAGAAACAAGCATACAGCAATATATAGAAAGCAGGAAAGTAAAGCAGTTGTAGAATACAGTTAAAGGATCGGTTTCTCGAATCGCACAGCGACTCGATTGACGGTTCTGTTACCATCCTTGCAGTTGTAACGGTCAGTCGCAACCTCCGGTTGCGACTCTTCGTGTCCATTCGTGTTCTTTGTCCGCCCCCTCGTGTAACCTCCGTTGACTCGCGTACCGGTTATGACTTTCCTCAAGTGTAGTGTTTACACTTCAGAAACGCTTAAGTCTTTGAGATATTTCCAACATAGAAGTTATAGGCTAGATAGGTTTGTGTTGATAGAGGGTACAACTCCAACCCTATATCTCCCCTTCTGTTTCAGGCTGGAAATCCGTTAAGGCTGATTATTCAGGATGACCAAAACAAGAACATACAATATTTCAGGCCTGCTCGAATGAGAATGCCTAAAATTAGGGCTAGGAGAAATCAAAAGCTGAAAAAACAGGACGACCCTAAAGAAACACCCTGCTATACTGCATTTCAGGGCATTTTGTTCTGACTTCTGAAGCCCTGGTGCAAATGTTGCTGATGCACAATATACTGTAGAACAGGGTGAAACTCCAGTACAACCTCGTGTGCACAATTAGGGCAAGGGGTTTCCAGCAGGGAAATAACCGCAATTCCACATATATCCCGTTGCGACGCTGTAGGAACACTTGCGTGGACTGGCACTCCAGCATGAGGACGGAGCTTTGCAGGAGCTGCCACCACAGGCAGACGCACTGCAGCACATGCACTGGCTGTAACATGAGTTGTAAATCTCAGTTTTCTGAGTGCTTGTGCCGCCATTTGCAGCTGCAGCATCGTTGCACTCATTCTGGCAAGCAGTCATTCTGTAGTTGCAGCACGGGCCGGTGCTGTTGCCCAGCATGATAGTGCAGTCTGATGCAGAGGGAAACGGCCACGTGGGGTAGGGGCAGATGGCTTGCGTGCAGCTGAGATTAGCAAGCGGAGCGAGGCCCATGCGATTGAAGCACGCAGCGGCGCAATTGCTGGGGCAGACGTCATATGTGAATAGGGGGACTGCGTAGTTGCAGACTGCATCGCAGTAGGAGGGGTATGTGACGAAGTCAAGCCCGCACACGGGGAGAGATGCGGCGCAGCCACAGTCGACAATACCGATGCGGCCAACACATGGGATGATGAGCTTTGTGCCAGCGACAAGTGGGGCAGATGCATTGGCAATGAAATTTGCTGCTGCGATGGATGTGGGGGAGATGGAGGTGGAAGTGCAGCGAGGCGCGTAGACAGAGGAGATGAGGGGGAGGGTTTCGTCAGTGCGGACGGTGTGGATGGTGTAGGAGACGTTGGGAGCTCTCTGCATGGTGGTGAGGATGGGTGAGTCGATGCAGACCTGCTGGCCGATGGCAAGGTAGGGAGCCTGGCACTGCAAGGGGTGGGTGAGTGGGGTATAAGAAATGGAAGGCAATGGTGAGTGGGGTATTAGAAATAACGAGGACAAAAGGGGTAAGGAGCCTGGCAATTAGAGGGAGACACTGACTGGTAGGTGAAGATCGTTGTAACCTGATTTTTTATGTAAGAACAACAGAATACGAGTTGCTATCAACATACAGTGACACGAGCCATCCCAATATGAGTATGCTGAACGCACCACAAAGGTGGATAACAAATAATTGGCCTAAGAGGGGGGGGGAGCCCTTTACGGGGATGATGGCTTGACAGGGGGGGAGGAGGCATTCACCTGGATGCCGGGGTTGATGGCGAGGAACATGGACATGGTGAGGTTGGCTGCATTCCAGATGGAGGGGCATGTGTCGCCCTGCATCACACGGTACCACCCAGTGCAGTTGATGGTCGTCTGGGGGGGAACAGGGGGTGTAGAAGGGGGGGGAACAGACGAGAGAACGAGGAGAGGCACAGATGAGGTGGTGGACTGCAATCAGCTAGTGCGGATGATGGTCGTCTGGGGGGGGGTGGCAGGGGGGAGTACGGGAGGGGGAGAGGTTGAGGGAAGGGGGAAATGGAGAGAAGACAAGGAGAGGAAAGGATGTGGCAAAGGATAAGAGTTATTTTTGCAGCAAAACCGATAGGACAGGGCAGAGAGGAGAAGCAGGATATCGGGTGGTACGTACAAGTTACAGCTGACGAATATGGCGGGGACAACAGAGGGGAGAGAAGAGACGCAGACATACGACTCAACAGTGATGGGTGGTACTTACTGCGGACGTCTTGGGAGCGACACAGACGTATGATCCGACATTGAGGTTGCTGTTGCAGTTGAGTCCCGGGTTGAGGCTGCATGGTTGAAAGAATGGAAGCGAGCGTTAGCGGCATGGGAGAGGGAGGCAATGGGGATGAATAGAATAAGGAGTTAGCGAGTTGGTTATGGGATGAGAGGGAGGAGGGACGGGCGGGAGGACTGAGTGTGTGAGAGAGGGGAAAGAGAGCTGGGGAAGAGGGGAGGAGGGAAAGAGTGGGGGGGCAGGAACTCCGAAAGGAGGTCTGTATTGGAATGAAGCACATACCTTACGATTTCTGATGTGGTGGTCAGAAACTTGACGGCAAGCGAAGCGCACGTATCTCCCGTGCTCACTGCAGCACTTTGCCCGCATTGTGTAGCCGAGGACGATGTATTCAATGCTGTAACCATCTGGAGGCAAATCTGCTGCGACTTGAATAACCGCTTGCATGATAAGCCGGTGTTGTTAGAAAGCAGCGCAGTAAGGGACCCGCCAAAGAAAGCATTCGCTACAGAAGTGCAAGTGTCGGAAGGCCGGACAGTGTATGTGGTAGTGCAATATGACGTCGTGGAATTGGTAACTGCCGATACAGTAAGTGCAATCCCAGGCGGGAGATATTCTGTAACAGAGCAGTTGATAAACGTGTTGAGTGCGGTGAGTGTAGTCGTCGAAAGGCTGAATGCCGTCGCGACAGTCGTGCAGTTGTCGCCAGGGAGGGTAACATACGACTTCGCGAGTCCAGCAGAAGGCATGCACGTCGGCGAACCGTCAACAGCAGCGCCGATGGCGTAACCAGCTGTGCACGCGCACGTGTATGTCCCGTCGCCAACATCCGTGCAAGTTCCGCCAGCGCAAGGATTCACAGGGGAATTCGTGCACGGATTGCGCGGAACGCATTTCGACGTGGGCGTTCCGGCCAGCTCAACCATATTCGCCAGCATGCTGCAGTTGCACCGCGGGATTCCGAAGCTCATGAGGCAACTCCCGCCACCGCATGGGTTGATAATCCCCGGGCATGTCGTGTCGTTTCCAGCGGTGCTTATAGAGTTGATGCTTGTAGTGAAACTGCTAGTAGTATCGGTGGAGAGGGTGGAGGAGAAGAGCGACGACGAGAGGTCGTCCACTTTGTTGATGTTCCACTTGCCGCGCTTGTCGGATGAGAAGCGCGCCGGCTGCGGTCCGATTGGGTAGTAGACCGGGTACATGGCGGGGGTTCTGCGGGGAAATGCGGGAAGCGGGGGAAAAGGAGGTTAGAGGGAGAAGGAGGCTAGGGGTTAGAAGGTTAAGGACGATCGAGTTTAGGCGAGGGGGATGACGTAGAATAATATTCGAATTAACTGAGGGAAAAGCGGTTGTTCAGCGGCCTCCTAAGCAACACGCTATATGTGTGTGCGGGAGAGCAAGCCCTCTTAGCGACGTAACAGGATTCAGCAATTCGACCTGTAACTGCGACGAGAGACGAGCAACCAACGACGAGAGGCTAAGAAACGCGCGGCAGCAGCACTTACGAGAGGATCCCGCATTTCCCGCGCACGTCGGGTATCATGGCGAGGTACATGTAGCCGCGGTCGCCCCACGTGGCGTACCACGAGTTCTTCAATATCCAATAGCTGCCAGTGAGATCCGGCCCCGTGTAGTTGTACCCCACCACCACCACCGCGTGGTTCACTTCCGTCGTGCACAGCCCGTTATAGATGTTGAGCGTGTCGCGGCTGCTGTATTTCTGGAGGACACAACCAACAACGGTGGGAGAACAGAATGGTTAGTGCTGCTGGGCTGCGAGAAAGTACGGAATAAGAAAGGGCCGTCGCATGTCGTAGCAATTTAAGAGACGGTGGGTCGAATAACGGGTTAGGGATGAGGTGGCGAGTAACTTCCTTTGAAGGGAAGGACGCGAGCAAGGCTAGGAGGGTCGACGCGACTCGACTCAATTCGCGGAGGCTACGGCTTTCAACTGACGAAATAATGGTAGTCGACGACGGCGAAAGTCCAACGATATAATTCCGGCCAAAAGAGACTCTCTGGCTGCCAAAGACGACTGCCGGATAACGGAAACGGAGCTCACCGCGAAGTCGGGGGTTGAGGCGCTGAGGAACGCGACGACCGGCTGCTTCGAAACGGCCTTCATGAGCGCCATGCGATTGAACGCGGGCACCAGCTCCCACCCCGTGATTTGCGCCATGGACGGCATGGATGTGTCGAGGAGACACGTGTCGGAATCGTACGCAAAGTAGGGGTAATTGCTGTTGGTCGTCACGCCGCCATTAAATAGGACGTAGGAGAAGGCCCACTCGGGCCAGCCGCCCTGGCAGCACTGCTTCGTCGCGCAGTCGCACACCTGCTGCGGCGACAGAGATGCTGCGGTGGCGTTGTTGGCGATTGCCCACATCATGGCGATGGAATCGACGGCTGCGATCGCCCAGCAGCTGGCGCACTGTTCACGAGGGGGTGGGTGGGGAGATGCAATTACTGTCATACTAAAGGCGACAGAAGTTAGGTACTGGGGGAGCTTGGGATGGAACTTGGATTCATACTTCGTACGACACAAAGGTCGACGAGTAAATATCGGAGACGCTTAAAACGAGTGAGCAAAAGAAAACGCGTAAAACTCGGAGACGCGTAAAAACGAACGAGTGAGCAGCGCGCACCACGAACTGCGTCTGGATGGGCGTGATCGCAGACGTCGTGCGCCAGTCGAAAAACGACGGCGGCGCGACGCTCTCCCAGCGGTAGAACGACATGTTCACCACCGCCATGCTCGGCCCCGAGCTGAGCGGCGGCGCGGACAAACCCAGCTTCGTCGCCGTGTCGAGCAGCCGCCGCTCGTTCCGCTCCGCGTCATCATGAGGACCATCAGGGTCACTTTTCGCCGCATTGCGCGCTCCCTCCGTGATTGCGAGCGACGCGAACACGGAGTCAACGACAAGGAGGAGAAGGACGAGCGACAAGATACTTTTGCGGCTCGCCATGTTTCTATGAAGTTGGCTTACGGATTCCTGGCTGCTTTCACGAAAGTACGCCCGATTGTGGTTCGATAAGATAATCTCGCGTTCTAAAGCAGTCAAACTACCATCGACAACGGATGAGTATGGCCTTTTGCAAAAAAATTACTTTTGAGACAGGCCTGCTAGGACTGAGATGCCGTCCGTCTACTACCGCACAGCTTTTTGAGCTTGAGACCACCCACGTTTCGAGACACCACCCTCAGTGACTGTTCGACTGTTGTTGGGAGCAACTGTCTGTCCAGTCACTTCTGCGGCTTCTGTCGATTCGAGCACCATCCCCATTCCCCTCCCGACCAACCCAACCCAACCAAGCCCACTGAAGGCCATCCTTTGGGCGGTTTACTGTACACGAGCAAAACATATGCCACGACTGGCTTGTTCGCTTGCACCATAAAGGGAAAATGACAGCTTCCCTGAGGGCGCATTCCGGAGCTCAGGTAGGGCCCACGGAACCGCGGGTTTTACAGACCCAACTACGGGTCTTCTGATTTTGACGTTGTGCACCTAGACAGGTAAGTTACACATGTCCAAGATAACCCTCACAGTCGTCGCAACAACGGATTGCGACTGCGCATTGGGCGGGCAACTCTGGTTCTATACCTGCGAACCCCATCCCAAGACCCGATAATAAATTCTGCTCCTGCTGACCCGCGGAAGGGGCTGCGGGGTTTAGAGGCTCAACCTTGGGTCTAGTAGCTTTGACGGTCATGCGCCTACAGAGGTGCAAAACGAGATGACGACGTACAGAAAACAGCACAGAGCAAAGCGAATTGGGAGGTGTACAATGGCGGGCAATGCACTTGCGCCACTTCTAGTCCGGTAGGTTTGCCTGCGAACGGTGTGTTTCCAGTCAACCAGCCGTCAGTAGTCGTAAGACCCGAGGCATTTTTTTCCACCGTCGTCTGACACGAGTGTCAGACACCAGTTCCAGAATAACCCTCAGGCAATTTTTTTCCACCGCGGGTCTTCCTGTAAGACCCGCGGGTCAAGCCCGATGCAGAATACGCTCATCGGTGCTTGGAAACATGTGTGGTGTTCTGTCGGCTCGAAGCCACAAGCAGCGCCTGGTCCCCAGGATCTTTCCTTTCTGCCCGTGAGAAGCATGCGGTTCGTATCTACGGACCATTTCCAACCCCTGATTCGTTCCCCAGTTCTACATCGTTTGCCCCATGCAGCTCGCGTCCAGGCTACCCTATTCGCAATCATACTCCATCTGGCGAGGTAATTATTGCTGCCTCTCTCCGTTTCCCAGGCGTTTCTCGCAACCTACCTGACACTGCCTGTGGAAGATACTGCTGAGCTATTCTACAAGGCCGGGGAATAACTCATGCCCGGGGAATAGCTCATGGCCTGGTATGAAGGTGAGGTGGAAGGTACTTTGGCAAACACACGGTCTTCTTGGCAAAGAGTGTTTTCTAGACGGGCTGATGTATAAAACGTAATATCTTGCATTCTTGTTCCGTCTTCATGCTAAGTATCGAATCCGAGGCTTTCACTGGTTCGAGCCATTATAAACACGGGAATGCTATCTGCTGACCCAGAAAGGGTTAGGGTGTCACAAAAATACAGTGGGCCAAGTGTACAAATACCTTACCTCAGGGCGGCCACCCAATCACCTGAAAGCCTATCAAGATTCGCCCTGTTCGAAACAGACATAAATTTACAGCTGGTGCCAGCCGAACTAAAATTCCAGGAAGAAAACACTCGCCACCACTGTCTCCTGGTGACTTCCAATCTCATTATAAACAATCAAGTTTGGATTGAGCCCACAATTCTAGACAGGTGTTATGTGGCGCGAATAGAGAGAATAAAAGTGTGATGTAAGGAAATGGTATTCCCTTCGTCACGATTTAACTAGTAGAGCACACAACACCAACACGGAATCGCCGTGCAAAAATGCATGTAAACTCGGACCGCGCGCACCAAATGTGACACTTGTCAACTTATACATATGTTTGTATGTAGAAGTTGTTGGAAATATCTCAAAGAACTTAAGCGTTTCTGAAGTGTAACACTACACTCGAGGAAGACTACAAGGGAGCACGCGAGTCAACGGAGGTTACACGAGGGGGCGGACAAAGAATGCGAAAGGTCGCAACTGGAGGTTGCGACTGACCGTTACAGCATCATGGATGGTAACCGAAGCAGCAATCGAGTCGCTGTGCGACTCGATAAACCGTTCCTGTAACTGTACTCTACAGCTGCTTTCTTATCTTCTATATATTGCTGTATGCTTGTTTCCTTAATCAATCACTTGTTCTCACATACTAGTACAAGGGTTCAACTGCCTCAACTTCCGCTGCACTACTCCAAGTCTCAAATCTCTACAGCTGGGACTTAGTCTCTGCAAAAGATCCTAAGGGCTTTTCTCAGCCCAACATGGTATGAGAGCTGGTCAGAGACCAAACTCCCAGCAACTACACTCCATCAACAACCAGCAACTCAACTTGATTCAACAACTCCATTGATTACAAGACATGGACAACAAGGGCAAGAAAGTCTCTACGGGCTCACCCAGCGCCCAAGAAACTCAACACGGCAACTCTGGTCTGCACACCTCAGGACTGCAGACAGAGACCAGGACTGCTCAAGAAACAACGGGAAGAGCACCGGAGATGGTGACTCCGTCTCCCTCTTCAAGTGTGGACCCGAATCTCATGGAGAGATTCTTCAGCTTCATGTCACACTTCGACCAGCAGCAGCAGACAAGGACACCTGCGCACTCAACACAGAGCAATGGAGGGAATATGGGATTAGCGCCGATGAGCCTCGACAACTCATCCTTCGGGCGACACAATCAAGCACCTACTTTTGCGCCTTATCACTCTTCACCGGGGACGTTCGAATTCATGCCGCCCCGTGCCCAGCCAACAGCAGCTGCATCACAACAAACACCGAACGAAATCTTAAGTCTTCAGGCACAGTTCTCACACGTAATTAAACTTCAGACATCCTCACCGTTCAACGGACACGACTTCTTTACCTAGAGCTTCGAATTCGAGCTGCTGATGGAGGCCGCGCACCTTCTGGGATACTTCAACGGGTCCCTGCCATTCCCAAGCAACGGCACTGGGAAGGAACAAGAAATCTTCACGTATCAGTCGCTGCTGGCGTATACGGTACTCCTGAGAAACCTGTCACCACAAGAGCAGCAGAGCATCAGAACGTATCGGAGTTATGGAAACTCCGCGGAACTCGCATGGCATCATCTCAAGTGCCTCTATCAAGCAAACGACAGCGTGACACAAAGCAGACTCATGCAACAGCTGACAACAATACAGATGAAGACCGGGGAAAAGGCGATGCAGTATATGAGTCGCTGCCAGACCCTCCGCGACCGCCTGCTTTGGTGCGGAGGAACGATCACTGAAGAAAGCTTCGTAACACTTGTCCTCGCCGGGCTCGGGCCAGAATGGAGAACCACACGATCACTTCTTCGAGCCCACGGAAGAATTTCGGAGATGCACCTCTGCGCCGAGCTTCACGCTGAACAACAGGAGATGGATCTGTTCGAGGAAAGACAACCAAGGAAGCAACAGCAGTTAGTCTTCTACACTCAAAGAAGAAATGACAACAACTACAACCGACGCAACAAGCAAGATCAACGCGACAACCGAGGACTCACCATCGTACCGCCGTTCTGCCACAACTGCCAGACTTCCGGGCACTCCAAAGTCAACTGCAACCGCCCTCGCGTTTACCGTGCAGCAGACCCACAAGTAACTTCCACTCAAGCCAGTCCCCCAAGGCGCTCTTCAACATCTGCACAACAGACACCAAACATTATCAATTGCATGGTACACGTCGACAACTGCACACCCGGATCACCACCCACTTACGCGCCAGACGAAGAAGAGCTACCGCCACCGCGCTCACAAAGCCTTCAAGTCAATCCGACATATGCTGCAGTCGCGAACGCCGAACCCACCGGGCGGAACACCTGGTTCTTGGACAGCTGCTGCGGTCAACACATGTGCTCCTCGGGACGCTTCGTGCAACAGGAGAAACGCCTCAACCGCGACGTCGTCATCACCGTCGCCAACAACGAAAACCTGAAGACAAACAGACAAGGCGTGGTTCAGTTACAATCAATGGAAACAAACGTAATACTGCAGCTCAACAAAGTGCTCATTGTCGACAACCTGGGATACAATCTACTAAGCGTAAGCCAACTAATGGCCAAAGGGATTCACCTGGAGTGCGACTCTTACTCCAACGAGTTCCGACTTTACCACGGGAAGGGCGGCCTCTTCATCGGTCGTGCCCTCCTGAAGTCTGGCGTCTTCGTGTTGGACTTCGTCCCCGACCGCGGTACTGCCGACAGCGACGGTATCGTATCATTCGCCGCCTGGACTCACCCGCCGGATCTTGATCCCGACTTCGACAGTGACGGCTTCTGGCACTCCAACACCATACCTGCAGCAGAGAGAACACGAGCATTAGCAGTTATCAGACAAGAAAGACAAGTACCCGCACGTGTCCTAACAAAACCATCACCTGCAGTATCGGCAGCAGGACCCAGCCGAGTACCACCACCAGGGACACGAGAACCGCCAACCGAAGCAGACCAACTTATGCCCGCCACACGAGAAGCTTGTCGAAGTCCCGCCTCGGTCGTCGCGTTCTTCTCCAACGCCGACATCTACCACCGCTCGCCCGGTCACCGCGCTCCCGACGACATCTGGCACCAACGTCTCGGACATCCTGCAAACAGCACGATACTTCAAACAATCCAAGCAGATGTGTTAGAACGCAACGCCCTTCTGACGACGAGCGGCCAAGAACTTCGACGACCACGCGCACGGTGCTTCACATGCCCCGAAGCAGATCTTCCTCATCAACCTTTCCCATCCCATCACAACCCAAGCACACCTACTTACGCTCCGATGGAAAAGGTCTACAGCGATATTTTAAACATGCCTCGAGACGACACCGAAGCCGACTTCAACTACGTCATCACGTTCATCGACGCCGCAACCAGATATGTCTGGCACTTCAATCTCAAGACGCGCGATCAAGCCTTCGAAGCCTTCACAACATGGCTTCCCATCGCCGAACGAGAATCAGGACTCAAACTCAAGAGCTTCCAGTCAGACGGTGCACTGGAATACCAGTCACAACGCTTCAGGACCTATCTGGCGGAAAGAGGAATCAGACGCCTGGTGTCCCTGCCCTATGCTCACCAACAGCAGGGGGTCGCAGAA